AGCCGAAATTGCCCAGCCCCCCTTACCCCAACTCCCTGAACAAATTCTAATAATCGACCAATTCCATTACGGCAACTGAACACCATTGTCCCTCCGGATTTATTACTAGTCCCTCCGAACAATAAAGTCTGGCTACGGGCCTGATGTTATCTCCATGTAAGAGCCATTCTACGTCTCGTGTGTTTTAGGAGGAAATGTGTCAACTTCATAATAACAGAATTGTTTCAAAAAAAGTTGTGTTTTGTACAGATAGTTTCGTCTATCTGAACATTCTAAAGGAAGAGATATTTTATTTTTTCTGGCCAAATCAACGTGATTTTGACTTTATTTCTATAAATGTTTAGTGTTCTTAACAGTCAGTGGCTTATTTAGGTTTGTACTTTTTTGGCCATGGCCCCACCCCCACCTCGGGCCAAAAAAATAAATAAAAAAACGTCTTCGTTAGCCCTCATGGTGCAGAAAAGTAGGACATAAAACTCCATTCATTTCATTTCATTTCATTTCATATTTTTTTCGGGTCATAAAAATTAAAAATTTCTTTTACTATCACTTCCAAAATCGCGTTTGACGTATGCTCACGTTAAACTTTCACACAATGACAAAAGTCTAGTGCCCTAAGATCCGCAAAGGGACGCCGAGGCGATCGGATGCACCCCCTTCCTCGCTACGCCACTGCTAACAATAATATATTATTATTGTACATAATACATGTATAACCTAAATAAAGACAGGTTTGTCTTCGTTGGGTTTTTTGATGCCCTATTTCTATTAATAAGGTTTGGTCAACTAACGTCTCACAAAAAATAAATGAGTATTAAGATTGCTGAAAGTTCTAGAAATAAGGGAAAGCCCTGTATTTATTGAGAGATATTATGTCAGCATGTTTCATCATGCGATACTTCGTGTCGTTCTTTTGTTTCTGTTATTTGTAGGTAAGAACAACGTGTAGTTTCGTATGCATGTTTCATATTTATATATATAGATCAGTGTTTTCATAAGATATGGCGTGTCCAAGCGCAACAGAGAAACGTGGATTTTCCCGTTTCTAAAAATAGTATCGAGAAAATCAAATTCAAACTTAAGGTATTGAACTATATATAGAAATTATGAAATATGCAGCTGCACGAAATACAGTGGCGGTTCTAGGAAAAAATAGGTGAGGGGGCTGAACAAGGACCACAAAATATTCCCAGGAAGGCCACACTAGTAGATTAAACTGGTCATTATGTTGTAAAACATTATCACAACAAACTACTAAAGCTTTAAATGTTATCAAACACTGTCTATGTAAACTTAAACAACGAAATGTAAAAATTGCCTTTAAATTGTTCGACTCTATGGTTGGTCCAATACTATATTATGGTTCGGAAATATTACTGAGGTACGTAATGATATAGAAGTTGTACATAACAAATTTTGTATCTTATGTACGGGTAATAAAACTACGCACGCTATTGCTAGAACAGAATGCAGTAGACTTGAACTAAAAATAAATTATATGTGCAATCCCATCAAATATTTTCTTAAATTGCAATCTATGGAAAACCACAGGCTGCCCAAACTATCGTATCAAATGTTATATAGATAGGATTTAAATGGTAGATATAACAGGTGTACATTAATTAAAAATATGCTAAACAGTCTAGGTTTTGATCATGTATGGTTAAACCAAGGAGTGAGCATATTGTTAGCAACCTTGTCGGTCATTGGACTTATGTGGATTGAGCACTATTTTAACAGTGGTATTTCTATATCGCTCTACAGTTGATGTATTGAGCACTATTTTAACAGTTGTATTTCTATATCGCTCAACAATTGATGTATTGAGCACTATTTTAACAGTGGTATTTCTATATCGCTCTACAATTGATGTATTGAGCACTATTTTAACAGTGGTATTTCTATATCGCTCTACAATTGATGTATTGAGCACTATTTTAACAGTGGTATTTCTATATCACTCTACAATTGATGTATTGAGCACTATTTTAACAGTGGTATTTCTATATCACTCTACAATTGATGTATTTAGCACTATTTTAACAGTGGTATTTCTATATCGCTCTACAATTGATGTATTGAGCACTATTTTAGGTGGTATTTCTATATCGCTCTACAATTGATGTATTGAGCACTATATTAACAGTGGTATTTCTATATCGCTCTACAATTGATGTATTGAGCACTATTTTAACAGTGATATTTCTATATCGCTCTACAATTGATGTATTGAGCACTATTTTAACTGTGATATTTCTAAATCTCTCTACAATTGATGTATTGAACACTATAGGTATTATAAGAGTGACAATATTTTATTACTGTATACATATAGATATACGTAAAAGTATAAAGAAAATGCCAGTCGCATGACAATCTAATTAAAATTTTATTACATTTTTTATATCTTTGTTCCCACTGTAATCTAACAAGTTGTCGACCAAAAGCTCCTAAGTACTTTATTTTTACCCAATCAAAGCGTCACAAAACATCAGAAAACAACAAAAGTTTTAAACAAGATGCGAAATTGTAATCTAATTTTAATCAGATTTGTTGCAAGGTGGGTCTACTTTGGATAGATCCAGAAATGAGTTACGAATGCTAGGGTTACGTCTGGGGTACTAGTTTCTTCGTGCTGGCCCGTTGTTCAATCTGAATCTATTCCGACGCCCTCCGTCTCCAGGGCGAGCTCCACCAGATTGGGTGCTGGGTTGAGAGTTCAGGAAAACATCGAAATTAAAGTCAGGGATCTGACTGCAAGGTACTGCTCCATTGCTGTAAAATAGGAAATTAAAAATGGAAATTAGAAGATAAAATATAGAATATAGAATATCTACTGCTGATAATAGTGATATTTGAAATTTCTCGGATGTCAGTCCACCCCGGTCGATTTACCAGATTCTCCCAGACGCCACCGCCATTGGAAACCATGTTGAGACTCTTATCTACGGTGGTCTGTTTAAGACATGTTTATTTTATTTTTTTTATTTATAATTTGATTCTACTTATTTTTCATTTTTGTTTTCTGAATTATCATTTTTGTTTACTATTTTTTATATTCAGTAAACAAAAATGATAATTCAACAAACAAAAATGAAAATAACTAGAATTAAATCATAAATAAAAAAAATCAAAGAGGACTTAAACAAACCACCGTACTTATCAACCCCTAGGAGCCAATTGTTAGTCTTGAACTGTTAGCTCTCAGATTCTTTCGGTCGCATGGGTAACCCGGCCACAGGTCGACCCGAGTCCAATTCAAAATCAATAAAACAACCATAACAGTTATACTTACTTTACAAGACGACGTGGTATCATAACAAACGGTTGAATTCTATTAAAATCGTGGACGGTATCACACAAAACTCGAGATAAGAATATCTTCTTGATTTCCGCGACTTGTTCTATAAATAAAATATAAACCCATAATTCTATAGGAGTTATCTCCCGTATTTAGAAAAAGATTTAGTCTAGCCTTAGATATCTGCCCTAAAATCAGTAGGTTAACTACATGAGTAGGGGCTCTTGAACTTTAGTAGGTGGGTATCCTGCATTCTGAGATCCCTATGTTGGTTAATATATTTTTTTCTAGGACGAGGGTCCATGGACTTGGTTCAAGTAAATTGTCCACGTCCTTATCAGCAATTAGACCATCGATCTGTATCCTTACATCGTGTACAGGATTGAGAATTATTGTACAGTCAGTAGCGTGGGAAGGCCCCACTGACCCCCACCATGTATAGTGAACTCGAAAATCCGCAAAAGGGCGCCCAGGGCGCTCGCTTCCGTCAATGTTATCCTCGTTACGCCCCTGAGTGTTAGTGAAGCGTTACATATGGCCTATGCTACTCAAGCTTTCTTGCTTTGGTCAAACAAATACGTAATCAGATATATCTCTTTCAAAATAAGTTACCTGGTTTGAATCCACGGCGGCTGTCTTTGGTCTCATACCAGAAACTATCTCCAAATTTCAGGTTCTCGAATTGTTTACCAATAATACAACTGAATGTAGCTCCCAGAGTGCCATCGTCAACGTTGACCTCGGCAATTCCTCCAGTAAACAGATCAACATCATCTACATCACTGAACAAATAACGTGTACAGTTTTCGCATGGAATAATTTTACAGGCATAGGCGTACGAGCCGAAGGTCTGTTGGGAGGGCAGACATTTTCTTACGAATTTTACCTGTATTTTATTTTCGGGTTTTTGCCCGATGTGTTTTCGGTTGCTGCCTGAAAAGATAACATTTGAGGGGGCAGTTGTCCGGTGATCTTGCATAGTACAATAATAAGTCACCATTCCTCACACTTTCGGTCGTCCTTGCTTTAAATGTATGGTCTAATGATAGTCCGGGAAGTAACTTGTTATCCTTGTAAACAAAATGTTTTTCCCTCATACTTACTCATACACGCTGGCAAGAAGATTTCCATAATTTCTGAACTGACGAGAATCGAACGAAGTAACTCGTGGTAGATTACAAACAGTTGCTCTGAAATCATTGTAACTGGGTAGCCCATGGTCCCGACCTCGGTTGATATTTAAAGCTATCAGATCAGTCGATAATCCTTCATGTAAAAACAACTTGTTGGTTATAGCTTCCACAAAGAACCTGAAAAGAAGACGATTTAGTATATTCTTTGTAAGATATATAGAAGTGGGAAGGTTAACTTAAAGATGCAATAAAAACAGAAGTGGTATATTATCCATATATCTTGTTACAAGTTAGTAACTTAAACAATTGCCCCTTTGCAAAGAAACTGTCATATTTTTTTATTCTCCATTGTTCCCGAACTTGATTGTTCGGATGGGCAAGTAATATATCTTGAGGGACAATAGTGTATTGTGGTGTTTTGTTGCAGTAATGGAATTGGTCGGTTGTCAAAATTTTTTTCAGGGTGACAATCCATGTTTTCGAGAGGGGGGGGGGGTGTCCCCTTTGCCCCCCTGTGACTACGGAGCTGGTAAAAGCAGTTATTGCCCATTAGCTAAGTAAACGACAGATTTTTAAAATACATGTATATAAAGGCTTACCTATCTCTGAGTTCACTAGGATGGGCTATCAACGACTGGACGATCTCTCTCAGATAATGTACAACATAATGTGGACGAAGGAACAGGTCCTCGGTGTTATAGTCTGTATCGCCAATCATGAGGTTCTTGACGATGGTAGAATGTCCAAATCTAAAAGCTGCTGTAGCGAAGGCTTGGAAGATACCTGGGTTTATACTGCTATCGTAGTTGTAGTCGACATCATGAAGGTTATATCTTTGCCAACCTTCCAGACCTAGAACTTCTGGTAAGTATTCTGAAAACAGTAAATATTTGTTTTAAGATTACACAATGTTGGATTTTAAGCGGTGTTATGATCATTGGGACAGGGCAATATGATCACCATATGGAAACACCCAATTTCACTGTTCATATGGGTTCGTCAGCAAAATGTTCTCCTTACGGGAACTCTGCAACCGGCTATAATAGCTTTTCAGCACTGACATATCACCCCTTCCCCGCCTCCCAGCCTCTCACCTAATATTAATTTGCTTTCTATGGATGTGAGGACTACCATGGAGTATGCAACACAAGTCCATTGTTCCAACAAGAAATCCAAAATTTGGACTAGAAATTGTCACCTGAAGCACAAAATCTTACCAGTGTAAGTGATATGTTGAAGAACGGCAGAGACTATTTTCTTGGACTCTTGGAAGATCTGTTCATCAGTCCAATCTGGTTTGGCTTCAGCAAACCTGGTAGCTAATTGGTTATGGAATCTAAGGAAAGCTGTATGAAGAGCCCCTAAGCCAACAAAGACGTTCACTCTATGATCACCTGTAAAATTAAACAGTTTTAATAAACGGTGAAATTGTCTGCATCCGATTGCGCTAATTAAGACGGACGGTGCCCTCAACTGTGCGATACTGTAAATTTTGAAAATTTATGTAAACTTAAAAAGCGGGTAATTGCCCTTGAATAATCTGTTCCCCCCTTGTTCAATTCCCGGAAATATGAATGGGGCAATAACAAAGAAAAATAAAATAAGCCAAAAAAAAAAAACTCTCGGTGGTTTCTAAACGGGCAATAAAACCTCTTTCTAATCCATTCACCATCGATTTGGACAGTAGAGGTGATATAGATGCCATATACAGAAGAATATTGGACCATATTGGACTAATAAAACTGGTTGGAATGAGACCGCTCACCTGCTTTAAAACAGTAATCAGAATCTTCTACTTTAAGACATCCACCCTCTTCAGTATCTTCTGGTAAATTCTCCCCTTCAGATACTTTCAACTGACCTGCAAATACATGTAGGAAATATGACCGTTCAATTGTCCGATAAAACCGCAGAGAATAACTTGACCCAGTAACATAAAAGAGGGTAAACTTTATAGGAACAGATGCGCCATTTGTTTACCAATCATACGTGAGTCTCAGAAACTGGTATTTTTTAGCTGAGCTAATCAGAAATAGTGTTCATAGCTCACCAACGAAATTTGAGCCTTCACATCCATGTGTGTTCAGAATTATCTGCGTTTGAATGTTTGACGTTTGACGACTCGTCAATTTAAGATACTCTGTGATATATAGAAACGACATAGTGAGTAAAATTTCTAGTTTGAAGTATTTTTTAAAGGAATTATGTGATTTTCGTACATGTCTAGTACTTCTAAAGATTATTTACATATATTCAAGACTAAAATCAACCCCCCAAAACGGCACACCTGTCCCATTAACCGGACAAAGAAAACCAAGCAGGTTAATCCGACTTTCAACAGACCAAGTCATATCAAACATCAATATACGTGGAAATAATAGAGATGATCTCAATTTTCATTTGATAAAGAAAAACATATATAATATCAAACTTCGTGTGGACGCTGACTAGGGTAAGGTAGGCGACAATTTAAGCTAGGAGGGGGTATTTTTAGTTTTCACATGACTCAGAAAATCAAAGGGAGATAACTACACTCGCTATTTCGGAACGACATAATCCTGCAGTTTAATCTGATAGCATATTATCTACTGTAGACAGGCAACAGCAATATTCTATTCTATCACTTACCATTAACAAAACTTCTCAAATCAGCCTGTTCCTCTACTGAACTACCATAGACCTGTGATCCATCGACGAAAGCCGTGATAGCATTTTGCTGTTCACGATTGCCTACAATAATATTAGAATGATAAAATTTTGATTTCAGTTCTCATACATTTCTGGGAATACCCAATCTTATCAAATCAGATCACAATTTCGTTTCTTTTTTTTCTGATCGTTTTCGTCTCAGTGTAATCTAACAAGTTTTCTACCACAGTTGTGTTCTAATGGCATTATCTTTGACCAAACAAAACGTGTATTGTTAGCGTCGTGTCTTGATAACAAGGAATATTGTGGGATAGCAAACTGTCATAATGCTCTACTTTGCCACGACATGGAACATTTGGTGGAAATTGACGCTATCAGTATCCTTATAAACATAAAAGAAAACCTCTTTACAATCTCTTTAATTTATTTTGTGTATTTCAGTCCGGTATATACAGAGAAGAAGAAACTGGTGTACTTAAACATTGTTTTAAAATGATCACTTACCAGTTGTCGCAGCATTCAAGGATCTTTTAAAGTCCAAACAGGACATATTGAAGTAAGAGTCATCGGCTGGTACAACGATAGGAAAACATGTACCTCTGAAATAATAGGATCAAGCACATTTCAGAATATGCTGCTGCTAAATTAGTTTAACATGTTTAACAAAATATTTCATTTCGTTATGTTCGTTACAGGAAACACCAAGTGAGTGGGCCAAGAGGGGGCCAAAAATATTTTTCACAGAGTCAAATGGCAAAGTCGGGCCAGCCTCTTTTCTATGAGACCATGCCCTCTATTGATCGAAGCATACGTTTTTACTGCTATAGTTTTCTTTATTACATCCTGAGACTAAAATTGAACCGGTAATAGACGTTGTAGTAGAAAAATTAAAAAAAAAGATGAGCCAATGTAGAAATTCCGTCTACCTACCCAGTAGCTACATCCGGGTGTTCCTCTCCCGCCAAAACATCAGCTGTACAACATGATGTTGTCACGCCTTGAAATAAAATAATGAAATCGTGACGGTCAAAGATTTTGAGCTCGACTATAATACGTACTATTGCAGGTTTGGATCACGATCCTAAAAAACTTACCAGCACTACAATTTTACTTTAAATGAATTAATGATAATGACACAGAAAAGTAAAAATACACTTTTCAGTGGGATCTGTTTTTGAGAAGACTCCAAGCTCACACCAAGTTTGGCACAAGAATATCAAAAATCATTTCAAAATCAAAATTATCACGCAGTTATTAGTATTAGTCGGTTTTTTTTTGCGTGGGCATTATCTGGTTGCAAGTTTTGATTCGGATAACAATTTGAATACTTACTAGGATCTAGAGGGGTAGCAGTTAGATCGTGATCTAGAAACTGGCCCCACTGCATAAACATCACAGTCCATCTGTTATCTGGGGGTGTCAAGGGGTCGTAATAATGGACACTGGTGCTGACTTTCCTGGGGCTCGGTAGGGCGCCACCATCTTTACCCTTCGTCCGAGGTAAACTTACACCTGTAATTCAAAACCATAATATCATTATATATATTTGAAGATATTAAGCATTAATCAAATGTTATACCATGCTTCTTTAGCAACGTTAGATTTTATCCATCAAATGTTATACAATGTTCCTTTAGCAACGTTAGATTTTATGCATATCTATCATAATATCTACTGTTGCTAAAGGAACATGATATACAAGCATATATTAACTATGACTATGGAGGCCGTGTTGGACCACAACAATTTTCAAGTGTTATTTTGCACCTGAAAATAATGCGTCCCAAATACCAAGCAGATTGTACACATTGACATTTTCTGTGAACAGAATTTAAATTCATTGTAAAGAGATTGTATCTATGGAGGTCCAACGCGGTTACTTGTTCTATTGGCAGTGTTCTTCACAGAAACAAGTGAAGCAACGTTATTACTCTAGCATTGAGTTCTGCGCCATCAATTTAATGGACATGCTGTGTAGAGGCAATTTAACCCTATGTTCTTTCATCTAATGTCAAATCATTCAATCATACAAGGTTCGAGGTGCAACACAAATCAACTGCAGTGGTGTGAGTAGAACTTCAAACGAACAAACGAACAAATGGAGTAATTAAAAGTAGTCTGTAGTCAATTGGAAATATGACCACAATGGACTAGCAAATCTTAATAGGTTATTAATACATGTACTGTTTATGTTTTCTATGTTTCGATTCACACCATTGAAGCCAATAAGAAAATACAATAAATCGAAAGTAAAATTAATACAGACATGATTTTGTGAGCTTAAAAGGCGTGAATTAGACAGCTTCAAAATAACAAGAATTGTAAAAAATCATGTCTCCCTGTAGTAAAAGATTTTATTACCATTGTAAGATTGTAATCATGTCAATGAATTAAATACAGAAAAAATCCTTGTTTATTTCATTTGCGTTCAAAAATAAAGTCAACTTTCTTTCACCATAATCCCACTTTAAAGGGATTGTAAAGAGGTTTTCTAACCTTTTTTGTGTATTGGGGACACTGGCAGCATCAATTTGCACCATTCCAATTTTGATTCCGACGTCTAAAAAAAAATTAATACTATCAGTGTCCCCGATACACATAAGCAATTTAGAAAACCTCTTTACAATCCCTTTAAGATGTTTGGTTTAAACTTATTGAAGGATCTATCATTGTGCTTTATGATAAAGTCAAAATTCATCTACGTTGTGTGCAATTAAACTAAGGAGTATTATAACAAAATATTATGTTCCGTTAGTTAATGTGATCTCTTCCCCTAAATGTCGCGAAAGGATTAATTTCATTTATCTGTGCAAAATCGGACGCTAGATTTATATACTATTTACGATAATGAAACGTTTCTGGTTTTCACATATATACATCCATAATGATATTACCCGTTATTTAGAAGTCATCGATGATATCAGATTGGGGATGTTAATAATAACTACTGGAAAGGTGTCACAATATCCCTCAAATAGCAGCATTATTGGTGGTTGATTTAGGACAGATATTCGGGAGTTTCGATTCGCGCCATTGGAGCTAATAGTAAATTACACTCTACGATATAAATGGTAGTTTTCAAGGCTAAATTTTTTATGTATCTGACTTTGCTCAAAACAGCAACCACTATTAACACAAGCAATCAACCGACGAAATCGCTAACAAACAAGCAAACCTAATCAAGCAATACAAGCAATGTTAAACCCTAAAATATATATTTGAGTCAACTAGGCTTAGTGTTCAATAGTTCGCTTTCTCAAACAAGATTGGAAGCGGGAAGGACCAAGATAAACAAAGGTGGGTGGGGGGAGGGCAAAAACGGTCGCCCCTATCCCTTTTGAAATCACACAGACTATGCCATGGTGTTATTGCAATCAAGTCAAATATATGAAACCACATTTAAAATATTTCAGACCACACCTCTCTCGAGGCCTTGGGCAGCCACGGCTTGTTTTCAAATCAGTTTTACCTAACTTCTCTACATGGTGAATGGTTTCAAGGACAACAACAAACAACAGGTGCTTGTCTACCTGAATACAACCCATTATATATAATATACCACTAATATCAATAGAAACCAGTTACAAATCTTCATTATATAATACACGTACTTACCATCATCATAAGCATTGTCCATCTGTCTAATGAAAGTTGCTTCAGCTTTACCCCACTGTGGATGCTCGATATTGTTACAACCTCCATCTGGTGTACGGTATAATGGCTCTTGAACGTCAAATCTTTCACATGCACTGTGGATTTGTTTTCTGAAAATATTGATATTGTTTCATCTTTTAAAACACTTTAATTGTTTACGATCCGAATGCAAAACGAAAAACAACCTTTAAAAAGGATATCATATATTGTTAGCAGCTTTTGTGATATTGGCGCTTAGTTTTGGTGAAATTGCAACAACCTAACGTCTGACTGAAAATTTGGTTCAAATCGATGCTATCATCGTCCCCGATTGACATTTTACAAAACCTCATTACTTTCACCTTAACATCTATACCTAGATTCGGTGTGTCCCAGTTAGTCATAAATGCCTGCTCCCTAAACTTTTTTGTAGGTCAAGATCATCAATGTGGCCAGTTTCGAACAACTTAACCCGGTTCTATCTTTCATTGACACAAGTAGGAATTATTACATAGAAAAACGATTTTACCTTTGTATTTGTTCCGCTAACTGTCGATCGAGCTGAGCCTCGTCATCTTGGGGGAGACGAAATCTGTGGCCTGAAAAGACGGAATGGGGTTTTGATTTGGAATGCTGTTTGTTTTAATGGCTGATTGAGTCCGATCCTAGCTATCTGTACCAATGTTTCCCCAATTTACAACCAACAAATAAATAATAAAGGACTTTGAAAGGAAACATCTTAATCTCTTAAAGTGATTGTAAAGAGGCTTTCTAAAATCGTTGTTTGTATCGGAGACACTGATAGCATCAATTTGCACCACTCCAGTTTATTTTCAGTCGGACGTCTGTGGTTCCTGCAAGTCCACTAAAACTAAGCGTTTTATGACTAAACTATCACCAAGGCTCTTAAATGATTTTGCTATAGTAACATCATAAACCGCTTGGTGGAATTGTAGGAACCACAGACGCCTGATTGAAAATTGGAATGGCTCAAATTGATACTAACAGTGTCTCTGATTCACAATTCTTTAAAATCCCTTTAAGGATTCTTTCCTCTTACTATTTTTGACGAAACATAATTATGGTATTGACCCAGCCTGACTTTCCAGTGCAGCTTAGAATTCAAAACCACCGTATGTGCGAAGTACACACTCAAATAACGCCAAGATCGCACTGCTTTAATCTATTCAGCATAAGTCCACACTCAATGAAAATTACCAATATGTTAAATGTAGATAAAACACTGACTTACCTTCAGCGAGTACCACGGTAGCGAGAATTACCAATGATAGACTAAGCGTGCATACCATTATGAAAGTTTTCAGACAACTGACATCTGCAGTATTCACGAGTCTTATATACCTCTCGTTCCTATTGTTCGTGCAGTTTATTAAGGGCTTATAATAGCAATTTAAGGCTCTAGAGATTTTTACATTATCAATTTAAAGCTCTGTATAAAAACAACTTTCACTTGATTAACTACCGATCTCTTTCTGATAGTTGAATTGTCATCGCTCTGTGGTTTTCTTTAAAATATTAGGTTTATCCAAGTTTAAATCATTTGTTTGTTTGTCAGTTTAACCTAAAAGAATAGTCAAAATAGCTCGTAAATAGTTCACTGGGAGATCAATGAAGCATTTAAAGGTCTAAAATAAAAACATGATTGAGTTTGGCCTAGTATGGTGAGTTCAGTATTTTTTCTTAAACAAATACTGAGCTCCTAATACTACGTATAACTCGGAGATTTCTGAAATGAATAAGAGCTGTATCGTATCAGATGAGGCAGACAGATAGACAGTACTATCAGATGAGACAGATAGACAGTACTATCAGATGGGTCTGATAGACAGAAAGAACTATCAGATGGGGCTGATAGACAGAAATAACTATCAGATGGGGCTGATAGACAGAAAGAACTATCAGATGAGGTAGATAGACAGTACTATCAGATGGATCAAATAGATAGTACTATCAGATGAGGCAAATAGAAAGAAAGTAATATCAGATGAGGTAGATACAACTATCAGATGGGGCTGATAGACAGAAAGAACTATCAGATGAGATAGATAGAAAGAAAGTACTATCAGATGAGGTAGATAGAAAGAAAGAACTGTCAGATGAGGTAGATAGAAAGAAAGTACTATCAGATGAGGTAGATAGAAAGAAAGTACTATCAGATGAGGTAGATAGAAAGAAAGAACTATCAGATGAGGTAGATAGAAAGAAAGTACTATCAAACGAGGTAGATAGAAAGATAAAACTATCAGATGAGGTAGATAGAAAGAAAGAACTGTCAGATGAGGTAGATAGAAAGAAAGAACTGTCAGATGAGGTAGATAGAAAGAAAGTACTATCAGATGAGGTAGATAGAAAGAAAGTACTATCAGATGAGGTAGATAGAAGGAGAGTACTATCAGATGAGGTAGACAGAAAGAAAGTACTATCAGATGAGGTAGACAGAAAGAACTATCAGATGGGTCTGATAGACAGAAAGAACTATCAGATGGGGCTGATAGACAGAAAGAACTATCAGATGGGGCTGATAGACAGAAAGAACTATCAGATGGGGCTGATAGACAGAAAGAACTATCAGATGGAGCTGATAGACAGAAAGAACTATCAGATGGGACTGATAGACAGAAAGAACTATCAGATGAGGTAGATAAAACTATCAGATGAGGTAGATAAAACTATCAGATGAGGTAGATAAAACTATCAGATGAGGTAGATAGAAAGAAAGTACTATCAGATGAGGTAGAAAGAAAGAAAGTACTGTCAGATGAGGTAGATATAAAGAAAGTACTATCAGATGACTTAGATAAAACTATCAGATGAGGTAGATATATAGTACTATCAGATGAGGCAGATAGAAAGAAAGAGCTATCAAACGAGGTAGATAGACAGAAAGAACTATCAGATGAGGTAGATAAAACTATCAGATGAGGTAGATAGAAAGAAAGTACTATCAGATGAGGTAGATAGAAAGAAAGTACTGTCAGATGAAGTAAATATAAAGAAAGTACTATCAGATGAGGTAGATAAAACTATCAGATGAGGTAGATAAAACTATCAGATGAGGCAGATAGAAAGAAAGAGCTATCAAACGAGGTAGATAGAAAGAAAGAACTATCAGATGAGATAGATATAAAGAAAGAACTATCAGATGAGGTCGATAGAAAGAAAGAACTATCAGATGAGATAGATATAAAGAAAGAACTATCAGATGAGGCGGATAGAAAGAAAGAACTATCAGATGAGGTAGATAGAAAGAAAGTTCTCTCAGATGAGGTAGATACAACTATCAGATGAGGTAGATACAACTATCAGATGGGTCAAATAGATAGTACTATCAGATGAGGTAGATAGAAAGAAAGTACTATCAGATGAGGTAGATAGAAAGAAAGAACTATCAGATGAGGTAGATAGAAAGAAAGAACTATCAGATGAGGCAGATAGAAAGAAAGTACTATCAGATGAGGTAGATAGAAAGAAAGTACTATCAGATGAGGTAGATAGAAAGAAAGTACTATCAGATGAGGTAGATAGAAAGAAAGAACTATCAGATGAGGTAGATAGAAAGAAAGTACTATCAAACGAGGTAGATAGAAAGAAAGAACTGTCAGATGAGGTAGATAGAAAGAAAGTACTATCAGATGAGGTAGATAGAAAGAAAGTTCTATCAGATGAGGTAGATAGAAAGAAAGTACTATCAGATGAGGCAGATAGAAAGAAAGAACTGTCAGATGAGGTAGATAGAAAGAAAGTACTATCAGATGAGGTAGATAGAAAGAAAGTACTATCAGATGAGGTAGATAGAAAGAAAGTACTATCAGATGAGGCAGATAGAAAGAAAGAACTATCAGATGAGGTAGATAGAAAGAAAGAACTGTCAGATGAAGTAGACAGAAAGAAAGTACTATCAGATGAGGTAGATAGAAAGATAGAACTATCAGATGAGGTAGATAGAAAGAAAGAACTGTCAGATGAGATAGATAGAAAGAAAGTACTATCAGATGAGGTAGATAGAAAGAAAGTACTATCAGATGAGGTAGATAGAAAGAAAGTACTATCAGATGAGGTAGATAGAAAGAAAATACTATCAGATGAGGTAGATAGAAAGAAAGTACTATCAGATGAGGTAGATAGAAAGAAAGTACTATCAGATGAGGTAGATAGAAAGAAAGTACTATCAGATGAGGTAGATAGAAAGAAAGTACTATCAGATGAGGCAGATAGAAAGAAAGAACTATCAGATGAGGTAGATAGAAAGATAGAACTGTCAGATGAAGTAGACAGAAAGAAAGTACTATCAGATGAGGTAGATAGAAAGATAGAACTATCAGATGAGGTAGATAGAAAGAAAGTACTATCAGATGAGGTAGATAGAAAGAAAGTACTATCAGATGAGGTAGAAAGAAAGAAAGTACTATCAGATGAGGTAGATAGAAAGAAAGTACTATCAGTTGAGGTAGACAGAAAGAAAGTACTATCAGATGAGGTAGATAGAAAGAAAGTACTATCAGATGAGGTAGATAGAAAGAAAGTACTATCAGATGAGGTAGATAGAAAGAAAGAACTATCAGATGAGATAGATAAAAAGAAAGTACTATCAGATGAGGCAGATAGAAAGAAAGAACTGTCAGATGAGATAGATAGAAAGAAAGTACTATCAGATGAGGCAGATAGAAAGAAAGAACTGTCAGATGAGATAGATAGAAAGAAAGTACTATCAGATGAGGTAGATAGAAAGAAAAAACTATCAGATGAGGTAGATACAACTATCAGATGTTTATCTTCAATCTGTTAGTGAAACCTAGAAAAAGTAGAGCAATATGACATCGTCTTTCGAACGTTTCGATATCCAACCATTCGTTCTTGTTATCGGGAAATGGGTCCTATGGGAATGATTTGTAAAGAATTAACCCCACCCGGTATTTTATTTTTGAAACATCTCTCCTTATTTTCTTAAAAAATGACATTATATTGGCCCTGATAGGGCCCAACCATCGTATCACGAATACGGGTTTTGACATTAAGACGAATGGGGGTGTGGCTTGGACACGATGGGTCCCAACTTAAGTTGTGAATCATTTTATTCTGTGTGTTAACCTTTAAAATATTTATTTTTTGCACTTTTTGTTACTTTTTTAAATATTTATTCTGGGGACCGTGGACATGGTTCAACCATCCCGTATGGCAGTTGAGTCACTGTATATTATCATTTCAATTAAATTGCATCTAGGCTTCATTGAGGGACTGTAGAATTTCGACTATACAGTACCAACAGAGATGGGTGAATTTAGCTCGACAGATTGTACTGATCTTTTCAGAAATCCTGATGCCACTCTGCGATCTATCTTGTTATCCGGGTAACATTTTAGCAACTCCATTAAGCTTATATTGTTTACTCTTAAAAACTTTATTGAAGAGATTTGAACATTTACAATATACCGCGGTTATTCGCATCTTTATACAACTGGTCGAAATGATGCTCTCCCGAATGTAGCCTTTGGACATTGGAAACGTGTAACATGTTGTTGGAATGCAATATGGACTTTTGAATGATTGTCAAAGGTTTTCGCTTGCACTTTGATTTTTAAAGAAGCTCCAAAGAACTCCTATTCCAACCTTCCCGCTTTCTGGGTGACCATTTGGGAGCTCATTTCATTCTGCCATTGGCATGTATTTCGAATGTAAAGTCCTCATCAGGATATCGATTGAAACCGGTTGACAAATTCGAAATATTATCTCGACCAATGCCGGAGTATAACCCTCGAGCTTCAGCGATGTTATTTGTAGAAGCTAGTAGATTCCAGAGACTATTGCCTTATTATATATATATATCATAGCTAGAGTCTAACACACTCAGCCACCACGGCTCCCTTCGAAATTCGAAGTAGGGTTAAGTCAAGGATTTTCATTCCTTAGGGGGGATATTGACATATTCAGTCAGGCTATTTTTTCCGACAAGAACAAAATTGCAGGGAAAACATAAAAAATTACAAATTAATAAGTATTTATAATGCGAAGGGAGGTAATTCAATCGAACGGGAATCTGAAAGGTCTAATAAAAAGAAAAAGGTTGAAAACCCCTGGGTTAAGGCCTGACCAAACTCGAAGCAATGGAAAAGGGATAATCTGGTATAATAGTAAATAACACAAAAACATTAGAATTGAATTAGTAATGTTTACTAATAACACTATTATCAGATGAACTTAAATACTTCTTATCTTCAGATGACTTGCTTCATTGCTGACACACAAATAATTCTTACTTGACCATAACAATTCGACGTTTGGTCAAGCACAAATAAGCCGTGGTCAAATAGAATGGACATGACAACAATAATAATGCCCTCGGGGTCATTCGTAAACTATACACAACTACGTGTTGTTCTTACATAGAAATAACAGACACAAACTCAGTTAACCACCTTGAAATCACTACGCCAGACTGAATCGGTCGACTTCATAAACCCTGATTCATTGATTTTTTCGATGTAAACTGTATAAATATTATATAAAAGACGCTACTTTCGTTTTATTTTATTTACGTGAACGTCATCTGTTTCTGGTTTAGAACAGTAGTTCGATTTAAGCTGCCGATCTAAATGTGGGTCAGGCGCGTATTTCGTATGATTCTTAGCTTTAGAAGGGAAGGGGCTTCAAAAAGGTTTTCTAAACTTTTTATGTCTTTTTGAGGACACTGAGTGCCTTGTTTTTCAACATTCCAATTTCGGTTAGACGACTGTGGATCTTGCAATTGCAATAAAAATAGACATATTATGATATAACTATCACAGATTTGATGTTTCTGTGGTACGCATAAGATTTTCTATTACAACAAGCAACGGAAATCTGACCGAAAAATAGAGTGATTGAAAAGAAGCTACAAATGGTCCCTATTCACTTATTCAGAAGGCGTTTAAAAAATGCAATGAAGAATGTAGTCATACGGAAATAGTGTACCACACTCTATCAAGCTTGATGTTTTTTTTATGGTCACAGGGTGCTGTTAAATGTTTGGCCTGGCGGAGCCAGGTTTACGTCCGAGAGGGGGCGAGGGGGCGAAATT